GAACGTCCTTTTGAACATGAATTTTTTCGTCGAATTGCTCAATCATTTCCATTTATGGAAAAATTAACTTTAATAAATAATAAGCGACAAAACATTAAACAACTTGGAAAATCAAAAAATAAAAATCAAGATTTGTCAATCATTGAATATCCTTATCTTATTGAACTTGATCTTTCTAAAGCTCAGAAAGATTATTACGAACAATTTTTATTTGACACCAAAACATGTTTACCAAATAATGTTCGTGTTAATATGAATTACAGGCTAGTGAAAAAAGTCACACGAAATTTTCGAAGAAACACAACACGAAGTAATTGTGCCAAAATGGTTCTCGTATGTTTTCTAAAGGAATCAAAATTTCCTGAACATTTAAAGGACTATTTTCCTCATGCACAAATATGCTGATTATTATCGATTATTATTAAAATAAAACATGAATAGAACAGATTGATTTACATAGAATTTTTTATATTAGAGAGAGTGTGTAAAAAAATAAAAATTATGAAGAATGATAATAGTTGAAAATAGTTAGGAGATAACATACATTGTCACAAATGAATATATGATTATCTACTGATACATTTTTTTTTGAGAAAAAATCGAAATTGAAAAGTAACAGATGTTGCAAGAAAAAAAAATTATTATTTCAAGTTATCGTTGAAAAATTTACATAAGATAAAAAATAATTGAAAATGACTGTATATTAACTAAGAATAAAACAGATTTAGAAATCAATATATTTCGATTCCTCAAGTTATATAGACAAATGAACATTCATTATATATCAAAGTTGGTGCAATATACTTTCAAATTATGAAGTAATAGACAATCTTCCAATCGAACTGCTTTGAGAAATAGATTGTGTGATAAACAATTTAAAAATTGATTGAGGTTCAAATTTTTCAAAATAATCAATAAATAATATTAATATTTCTATATATAATTAAAAACATCTTCTATTTGACCTTTTTAAATCCATTTTATCGAAATTATTCATTTGAAGTGTATAAACAATAGAAATGGGCAATTGTAACTCCAACTTGGAATTAATTCCCGAGTTGACGCATTTTTTTTTCATTATAGTTGAACTCAAATCTTGAAATTGATGAACAGAGCTGCAGTAGATATGAAATGAAGTTGGCATTGATGTTATTTTTTTTTCAATGCCGATTTAATTTCTGTTAATTTCATGACTTGCTAAAATAGAATGAGTAAAAAAATCGACAATAAAAACAGACATAGGTACGTGTGGAATTCATGAAGCAATTAAGAGATCTACGAATGGATGACTTTGAATAATTTATTCTTCAGATCATATCAAAGTCAATTGTCAAAAGATATGTTATCTAAATAAATATTTATTGAATGTAATCATCATTTGTCGAACTAATATTTCAAGTTGATGGAAAAATTATACAATAGAATTATAATTCCTCATTGATGTTATTTGTAGATTTATATTAACAAACTTTTGTCTTTTTAAATTTATATTTTCGAACGAGTTCGACTTGATAGAGTCGGATTTTGTGTTGTAGTGATACATACTCACGATCGCGAAGTTGCTCATCTCTGACAAACAAATTTCGACAGAGAGCAAATCGTTTTCTCTCGAAATATAATGAAATCAATCATCAGTAACATATGACAATTTTCCGGAATTATACCGCTAATTTTTCTTTACTCATTCAAAATGGCGAGCATATATGAATCGATCGTTAATAGTAGGTTATAGGTTAGTCAGTCTCAAGTTGATCAATCTTTGCAAGTACGTCATATTTAATATCGGTGAAACTCGTCGTGCTCATCTCGCATATTTATATTATAATTTGCATCAAGCACTAACACATTAAAGTACATAATTTATTTAAATAAATCCTATATATAGCTCATTAGGTGATTAGAAATTTTAATTGCAAATTAATTCAATAACTCGTGTATATTTATTTATACGACAAATAAGCTTTTCAGAAAAATCTAAGTTATTGAGATACAAACAAGTGATTGAAATAATCGATATGGTATAATTTGATCAATATTAAAAACATTTAATTATATTTATATTAAGATAATATTTCTTTCACTAGTATATTAAAAACCAAGTTTTATCATGTGTGATGAGAATTATTAACAAAAACGAAAGTTTTACAATTGATAAAAATAGATTTGTCTTTAATCATATCCTTTCTTAGTTGATTAATTTATGATCTTTAAATTTTGATACAACATTTTTTATTTATTATCAATAAATATCTTTTAATAAATCATTTGAAATCGTTGTGTCCTCAACTTTGCGACGATTACATGTCGAAATAGTGTTTGTTTTACGACGAAATAATCATACAATTGTACATCGAATATCTAATTTAGAACAATTTGTTTTGTAGAACCCACATATTTGACGAAGGAAAATAGAAAGTGTAAGTTTTAAGGCAAAGTTTTCTGGCTTTCGCCTATGCCCCCATTACAGACACTTAGTAGCCGAGGTCAAAGGTCAATGGATACAGCTCCTAACACGGGGCGGGGAAGCTTTAGTGTATGGGTTTCCCTAGCAATATGGAGAGTGGATATTAACGGGATGTCACCATAAGAATTGGAGTTTGTACGTCACTCTTAAAACTGTTCTGAGAGATATATCAACATGCATACCGGCAGTAATAAGGACGTTCTGTACACTTTTTTTGTCTGGTACATCTGGCATTGAAAACAGTGCTGTATTACTTCAATCTCTTTCTCCTTGAAGATGTATTTTATAATACATAGAGTTTGTGAGTTCCACACTTTGACCCCTCACGGAGCCGCACTGACAAGTTTTTTTAATATTTTCACGTTTCTCACCAAACAATATTTATTAATGAGGATAATTTGAAGGAGAATATTATCAATTATATCTCGTTATTTATCCAAAGTAAATAAAGAAAAGTTATATCTGATAAAATTCTTTGAAATTAACAACCATATGAATTTATTGTATTTTCGACTTTCAAACGACACTAAAAGAATAAGAACAAATATTAACATGCTCAGTGAAAAAAGTACAACGCAAAAATATATAACAAGTATCATGAAGAGATTTATTTGAAAAAAAAACCACGATAGGAAAACTTTCTTGACTGTGTAAATGCACAATTAAATAGAGATATCCATGAAATAATAAACAAATAATATCAGACAACATAGCAAAACATAAAAATAGATTAGATTTTGAGTAAATTATTTTCAAGATAATTATCTTTTATAAGAAAATTCAATCTGAAAGGACAATAATAGTATGAGAAGATAAGTGTGAATAGTATAGTAATCTATAGCAGCATCGAATAAAAAAAAAACAATGCCAGATTGTATGAGCAAATGAGATGATACCATTACATTTAAAGAAAATAATACCCACGATAAAGACCTAAACCATCAATAGCCAATTCAAATACATCAATATTTTCGGAATAACATTAATAAATGAAAGAAAAAAAATATCAACTATGACAATTGTATGTATAACATGGACAATAAGATAAAAACTTGTTTCCAGCCATTTATGTCTTTCATGATATACAATTTGATAAGTAATACCTAATATAATCATTACCCAAATCAATGTTACAGTTAATTCTGATGAAATTGTTTGAATATGACGAATAAGAAGTTTAAAAGAATTTTATTCGAGAATTGAAATCTATAGATATGTATCAGCAATTTTTACCATGATGTATAACTAGCATTCATGAAAATCAAAATAACTGTTCGATCAACTTCATATAAAAAATGTTTTATAGTTGATTTTCTGTTAATGAAAAACAAATCTCAATTGATTATATTCCAAAAGAAATAATTCGTTGATATCTACATATTGAATAAAACATGAATAATAATAAAAAAAAGTCAAAACTAAAAAGAGAAAAATGAGAACATTACTATAGATAGTACTACTCCACTATTGTGCTGATGTGTTTGTGATTGAATAGTTTATTAAGTTCTCTTTTTTCATGCCATCTCTTAATGAAATATCAATTTGAGAGAAAAAAAAAACAAAGAAGAAAATAAGACATATATAAAGGATAATAATGATGAAGAAAACTTGATGTTTCAATAGATATATGTTATAAATATCATAGAATAAGAGATAGCAAGAAGAACGTGAATGAGAGAATAAAAATATTGTTCATATATATGTATATATGGAAAAAAAAAGATATTTAACGATTATAATTGTTTTGTTGCATTGTATCTGAATCTTGTTGACGAACATAAGCAGATGCTTCATATGTATTTGAATGCATAGATGTTGTTTGTTGTGATTGAATTTGATAAAATGGAATTTGTTGTGGATCAGGAATCCATGTATTAGGTGTTTCATAAGTATAAGCAGTTGGTATAAGATTATTTGATGTATATTGAAGTGTACGTGATGGAAGACCACCATAATCAGCAATTGATTGACCTGAGGTTAATGTTGATCGACTAGTATTATTTGAAAGACCAATTGATGAAGTTTGTTGAGATGGAATATTTTGTCGACTACCATAACCATATGGTTGGTTTGTTGGCTGATGTTGTTGTTGTTGATATTGAAGATTTGATTGAGCTAATTGCCAATTAGAATAAACACTTGATGGATTAACGTTGCTGATGAATATGAATCAAACGTACGTGAATCTTAAGAAATAACGAATAAATAAGATAAATTTAATTTCAATTAACTTTACTTGGATAATATCCTGTATAATAATATGAATGCAGATCTGAAGTATTGGATGCTCCTGTGGAACCAGCTGATGGAATAGGCATATTTTGAGGTTGACCAACAGTTGCCGCTGCTTGAATTACACCTGATATACGAACAAGTCGATCATTAAATGAAGTTTGTAATTGTGTAGGTGGAGAAGCTGTTTCTACTCAATTATAAAAATAATTAATTGAAGAAAAAAGAGATCAGATATACATACGTTGTGCAGGATAATTGAGTGGATAATATTGACTTGATGAAACAGTAGGTAATTGTTGTTGGGGAACATTTGATGGTTGTTGTTTATATTGAATAGAAGCAGCAGCAACATTTGTTTGTAGAATATTTTTAATAACATTGTCAATTTGTCCATTTAAATCATTGATTAACACAGGTAAGCACACGATTTTTCTAAAAAAATTTATAAAGCAATTTAGAAGATTTAATTTTTAATATTTAAATAAAACTTACTTTGATTTTTTGTTGAAATAGTCGTCGAGATTTATTTTAACTGTTCCAATACCTTCATTAATTACAATATTCGCAACGAAAAAATTACCAATTTTACTACATTCACATTTCATTAGCAACTGTTGCAGTTGATAGATGAACCAATTCTAAAAGAAAAAGACGAATTATTTTATAATTAAATTAATGCCTTACTTCTTGTTCATTAATTACTCGAAGACCTTTAATTGTTTTCATGATATATTTGACGATTAATGTATAACGATCCCAGTCGTTTGTAAAACTTGTTGCTGATAATATATCTTTTAATTCTTGATATTTGTCCATATCAAATCTAAAATAGAAAATACTTTTTCCAGTATTTATCTCTAATAATTAATATTTTATATAAATTTTTACAGACTAATCAATATAAAATAAAAATTGTCTTGAAATAGATATCAAATAAAATAAATTTCATATCTATTATCCGTTTCAAAATAAACAAAGGGTGAGTATTTTTGAAATAATTTTTGATAGAAACTAGATAGAAATCTGCGGTTTCCAACGTTTAAAAGAGACGATGAAACTGCATCGAATTAGCAATACTAGATTTTCCTGGCTAGTGTTCTCAGAGTCAACCGCCAAGTTTCTTAAAAACAAAACAGTGTGTAATGTAAAAGTTTTGGAATTTCAATTTTTAGTAGTGCATGAGAATCATTAACTAAAGCTCAATAATCTATGTTAGTCCCATTTTAAAAGATTTAGCCAATCACGAGTTATGAACATTCTACTAAGTGTTTTCGCCAGATTTCTCACGAAAAATTGACTTTTTTTCTGATTTTTGACAAAAAATACATCTTCTAACCCTATTAAAAAGCATCGATTTCTTAACAAACGTGGCGGGAGACCTTGAGAAAACTTGTCAGGAAAATCTAATATTAACAATTCGATGCAGTATCATCTCCTCTTTTAAACGATGAAAACCACGGATCTCTATCTATTATCCATTTCAAAATAGAAGAAGGATGATTGTTCTTTGAATAACTTTTTAACGGAAATAGCTATCGCTCTGTGGTTTTCATCATTCGATAGAGGCGAGCATTCTGTATCTTTCTATAGATGGTTAAAAAAGCCACCTTATGATTCTGATGAGCAGTCAATAAAATTCAAAGAAGTATTTAAAGTGCTATAAGAGTTGTATGGAATTTCAATTGTAATTAGTGCATGCATTAGATTCGCCAGCTCAAGATCTACAATTTTACACAAACCTGAAATTTTTATTTTGTTCCGTTCAAAAATTATACGCCTCACACTAATGGTCAAAAACGTTTGAAACATCCTTTTTTTGGCTAGTTTTTTAAGTTTTCATAATGCGATGTCTATAGGTTTTCGATCATTCTGAATCAAACAAAACTATTCGTATTGTAACAAAGTCATTCTTTGTCATGTAAAATCAGTGCTAATT